TCTCACCCTGACCTAGCCCTGCCTCCTCCCCCAGCCATGGCTCAGGCAATCCCTGGCTCCGCCCCCGTACCCTCTTTCTCCCCCTCACCCCTTTGTCCTCCTCATCTCCAGCCCTGGACTCCTGCTCTGCCACTAGGTGCTCAAGTGCATGGAAGGGAAGTGCCCATTGGTGAGGCCGCCAGGGAACCCCCCCCAAGCCCCTACACAGAGGGGTCCCAGACCCTTGGGCACAGACCACAGACCCTAGAACTGTGGGGACCCAGCACCCAGGGGAACCCCTCAGCAGGGCCTCACTGTGGGGTGCACCTGCCCTGCCCCCATCCCCAGCCCTGGCTGGGCTCTCACACCTGGCCCCTCTCCCCTGCCGGCCCGCAGGCGAGGCCCTGGGCAGGGCCAGCGTGGTGCCGCTGCCCTACGAGAGGCTGCTCAGGGAGCCGGGGCTGCTGGCTGTGCAGGGGCTGCCCGAAGGCCTGGCCTTCCGCAGGCCGGCCGAGTACGACCCCAAGGCCCTCATGGCCATCCTGGAACACAGCCACCGCATCCGCTTCAAGCTCAAGAGGTGGGTGAGGGCAGGGGCCCAGTCTGGTGCCAGAGGAGAGACCTCGAGCCTTTCCCCGGGTGGGGGTGGGGTGGGGGCGGGGACTCCGCCTGCACAGTGACTGGAAGAGGCAGGGCACGGGGCGAAGTGGCGTCCTGGTGGTCAGAGCAGCCGGTGCCACAGTGGGGAGTGGGGAGGGCACGTGGTACACTCCCTGGGGCTGCGGTCGCCAGTGAAAAGGGGCGCATGGGAGATGAGGCGGCTGAGGCTGGGCTTGGCAGGTGCCACCGGCTCTGTTCAGGCCCCACCCTGTCCCCAAGCTGGGCAGAGGCTGATGCAGGGTCATGTCCCGCCCCCAGGCCCACGCTCCCACCTGTGCGATGGGCTCCCGACCCGGCCCTGCTTGAGGGGGGGGCGGCTGGGGGCGGGGTAGCAGGTGCATCAGGGATGCTAAGCTGCCCGTGTCGCCTCTCCCTGACCCAGGCCACCCGAGGACGGCGGGCGGGACTCAAAGGCACTGGTGGAACTGAACGGCGTCTCCCTGCCACCCAAGGGGTCCCGGGACTGTGGCCTGCACAGCCAGGCCCCCAAGGCGGCCCCGCAGGACCCACCCCCCACCGCCACCTCCTCCTCTGTGGCCGGCTTCCTATACAGCACGGCGCTCCCCAGCCACGCCATCCGCGAGCTAAAGCAGGAAACGCCCACCTGCCCGCTCGTCCCCAGCGACCTGAGCCTGGGCCGGCCCGGGCCCGAACTCGCAGCCTCCGGTGCCCAGGACTTCGCCGACTGCTGTGGTAAGGCTGTCGCCGGGCCCGGCACATGTGGGCAGAGGACAGGGGTCTCCCCAGGCTAGGAGGAGCGCTCCTGGGCAGAGGGTGCCCTGGCCAAGACCCAGCCACCACTCGGCGCGTCTGCAGGGAATACAATCCCCTAGCAACCCATACACACATAGAGCGCCTGCTGCATGCACGCTGAGCCTGGATGAAGGGTGCTGGACCAAAGAGAGGAGCAGCTGGATACGAGGAAGGTCTGGGTTCGCGTCCTGGCTCCTCCGCTTGGTAGCCGTGTGTCCCAGGGCGAGACTCTGTGTGTCCAGGCCTCTGTTTCCTTATCTGTAAAATGGGGTGCTGGTGGAGGTTGGGCATCCCATCTCCAGAATGTTTGGGAGCAGCAGTGTTCAGGATTTGGGACTATTTACATGGATGAAGTGAGGTATCGTAGGCAGGGAGTCTAAGGCCAGACATGAACTTGGTTTGTGTCCCGTGTGCATCGCAGACCCAGAGCCTGGAGGTCACTCCACGGTGCTTACGGCCCCTGCCTTTTGACTGCAGCCCATCCCGGGGTCAGACGTGAGGTGGCCCACATCACGCTGGTGTTCAGGAAGTTAGGGAATTTTTTTTTTTTTTTTTTGTATGTGTGTGGAAAGATTTATTTGTTTTACTTGAAAGGCAGTTACGAGAGAGAAAGAGAAAGATGTTCAGCCCCAGATGGCTGCAATGGCTGGGGCTGGGCCAGGCTGCAGCCAGGAACCGGGAGCTTCATCCAGGCCTCCCGTGGGGGCGGCAGGGACCCAGCACTTGGGCCCTCCTCCGCTGCTTTCCAAGTGCAGTAGCAGGGAGCTGGGTTGGAAGCGGAGCAGCCAGAACTCAAACCAGCGCTCATACGGGACGCTGGCGTCGCAGGTGGCGGGTTAACCCACTGCACCACAACGCCGGCTCCGAAGTTAGGGAGCATCTGGGGTCAGGGATTGTTGAGCTGTGAAACCTGCTTCCTACAGAGCAGCAGCAGTGTCCACAGAGAGCAGGCTCAAAATGCAGGTGCCCAGGCCCTCCCCTCCTCCCCAGTCTCGTGATTCCGAAGCTTTGTGGGAAGCGAGTGCCAGGTGGCAGCGTGCACCTCAGGTTGGAGAACTGCTGGACCCAAGCCCTGGGTCCAGTGCTTGGGCAGAGATCGTAGAGAATGGACTTGGAAGTGAAACTCGAGGGCAGGCGTTTGGGGTGGTGGTCAACACACCACTGGAGGAGCCTGCATTCCACATCCGGGCGCCCGCCTGCAAGCCCTGGCTCCAGTCCCGTGCCCAGCTTCCTTCCTGCTCACGAGCACCCTGGCGGGCAGCAGGCGACAGCTCAAGTACTTGGGACTCAGCCACCCACGTGAGTGACCTGCATTGAGCCCCTGGCTCCTGGCTTCAGCGTGGCACAACCCTGGCTGTTGCAGGCTGCCTTCCGGGAAGTGAATCTGCGAGACAGAGCATTCTCTGTCTGCCTCCTCTTTTCTCTCTGTGCCTTTCCAATAAGAAGTAAGTTACTTTATTTTAAACATATCTTGTTTATTTGAGAGTTTCAAAAAGGAAGGCAGAGACAGAGAGAGAGGTCTTCCATCTGCTGGTTCATTCCCCAGGTGGCCACAATGGCTGGGGCTGGGCCAGGAGCTTCATCCGGGTCCCCTACATGGGTGCAGGGGCCAAAGGACTTGGGACATCTTGTACTGCTTTCCCAGGCCATAGCGGAGCAACCGGGACTAGAACCAGCAGCCAGATGGGATGCCAGCACTGCAGGTGGCAGCTTTTTTTTTTTTTTTTTTTTTTTTTTTGACAGGCAGAGTGGACAGTGAGAGAGAAAGACAGAGAGAAAGGTCTTCCTTTGCCGCTGGTTCACCCTCCAATGGCCGCCGCGGCCGGCGCACTGCACTGATCCGATGGCAGGAGCCAGGTGCTTCTCCTGGTCTCCCATGGGGTGCAGGGCCCAAGCACTTGGGCCATCCTCCACTGCACTCCCAGGCCACAGCAGAAAGCTGCCTGGAAGAGAGCAACCGAGACAGATCGGGCCCCCCGACCGGTTCTAATACCGGTGTGCTGCATAGGCGAGGATTAGTTAGTGAGCCGCGAGAGCTGTCATGCAGGTGGCAGCTTAACCCACTGCACCAGCACGCTGGCTTGTGTCCGTGGACTTTTTGAAGTGCCCTGGCATTTACTGTGGTTGCTATCATGATGAGGAGAAAAATGACGCCCCTTGCACAGATGTTTGGGCTGCCCAGAGGCGGGCGCCAGTGTCCCGCTCTCACGCACCGGGCTTCCGCTGCCAGATCCGGGACACAAGGACTCAGGCCTCTGGTCCAGGGGCTTTGTCTCACGGTCCTGATTGCAGGGCCCCAGTCCAGGGGCTGCCTTGCCGGGGACGCCGCAGGGGTGCCCGTGCCCCAGGGGGTGGGACCTGGGGACCCACCCGGAACCTGAACCTCTCGTCTCCCTTGTCCAGGACAGAAGCCCCCCGGGCCCGGTGGGCCGCTCATTCAGAACGTCCATGCCTCCAAGCGTATCCTCTTCTCCATCGTCCACGACAAGTCAGGTGGGGCGGCGCCCGTGGCAGCACCCCGGGCTCCGGGGCTGGGGGGGTGGTGCTGGGCGGGGTGGGAGAGAAAGGAGGGGCAGCTTGCGCGAGGAGTGTAGCAGGCGTCTGTGGGTGAGTAGGGGTCCGGACTCGGCAGTTGGGAGGGGGGAAGGCTGCCGGCTCAGGGTCCTGCGTCAGTTGCAGCCAGGATGTTGTCCTGGGGCAGGGGTCCCAAGGCCCAGCTCACGGTGTGGCCGGCACGCCCCCAGCTGCTTTCCTGCGGAGTTCCTGACCCCAGGGAGGTCAGGAGGGAGCTCCAGGCGTGGCAGTCCCTCCCGCCGTGTTGTGGCACTTGAATGCCAAGGCATTTATCAAAAACGTGTGGCCAGACTTAAAATCATCCCCACAAGAATCCCCTGTGGTTTTGGGTGTTTTTTATTTGTTTGTTTTTTAAGATTTATGTATTTATTTAAAAGAGTTACAGAGAAAAATGATACATAGATTTTTCCATTCGCGGGTTCAGGGTTCACTCTCCAGATGGCTGCAACAGCCAGGGCTGGGCCAGGCCAAAGCCAGGAGCTTCTTCTGGGTCCCCCACGTGGGTACAGGGGCCCAAGCACTTGGGCCATCCTCCTAGCTTTCCTAGGCCATTAGCAGGGAGCTGGATGGGAAGTGGAGCAGCCAGGACTGGGAGTGGCGCCCATATGGGATGCCAGCGGCCATGTGGACAAGAGGCAGACGCGGCAATCGGCCCTCACTGGGTGATCTCAGGAGAGATCCCCAGCTCCTGTGGGCCTCAGTCTTCCCTCTCTGCAAAATGGGAATGAATGCAGTTCAGGATCCTCATCAGGGAGTCATAGGATCAGACGACACAGAACGCAGGTGGGCGCTGGGTTACAGCCACTGCCGCCCTTAGGAGCTGGAGTGAGCCCAGGGGCCGCTCCTGTTGGGAGTCTCAGGTCGGGCGGAGGGACAGACCACAGGTTGGGGCACGGGGGAGAGCCTCAAGGTCACGAGAGGTCAACCCAGCCCGGGTGAGCCCCGGGGTGGACGGGGCTGAGCCTGCCCGGCCAACAGAGGGGGCCCACGGAGAATACAGCGTGAGGCCATCCCGCGGGGCCTCACTGGCGCCCCCTCGCTCTGATAGAGAAGTGGGACGCCTTCATCCGGGAGACGGAGGACATCAACACGCTGCGGGAGTGCGTGCAGATCCTGTTCAACAGCAGATACGGTGAGTGCGCGTGCTTGGTGAGTGGGCGGGGCCCCGCGGCCCAGCCCGCCCTCCCGCAGGCAGGCGCCCCGCTGGTTGGACGGTGGTTGTTTCAGTATCTCCCTTCCTGTTCTTCGGGGGCGGGGCAAGCTGGGCACAGATGACCCCTGACCTGGGGAACCACCGAGGGCCCTGACTGTGCCCTGTTGGTGCCTTGTGCTTACCAGACCCCTCCACGGCCCACGCCCACCATGCCCTCTCCCCAGCATGTCTGGGATTCCTTTTGGGGGGGCAAACTCCTCATTCTTCAAGACCCGGCTTGCTCGGGGGTCCCCTCCTCCAGGAAGCCTCTGGGCACCCCGAAGCCCTGATGCACCCCTCTCCGTCCTCGGCTGTGGACTTGCCCCTGACTTGCGCCCTCCCCTCCCTGCCCTCTGCACCTGCCATCCAGCCTCGTTCCGTCACTGAGGTCCTTCCTTCTCCCTCCCTCCCTCCCGTGATCCTCACCACTCACTGGCCCAGTCACTTCCGTCCTGAGCACCTACCTTGTGCCTAGTGCAGATGTATCTGGACGTAACGCCACCTACCTGGTGACCAGTGGATGACAGACGGGGCGGGGGGCGGGGGGACTGTGCTACACAGATACAGCCCGGGAGCCCTTTGAGCAAACACTTGAAGGGGGGAGGGAGAGGGACAGGGGTGTCTGGGAAGGTAGCTGAGCAGGCAGGAGCACATGCAAAGGCCCTGAGGTATGTGCCTGGTGTGCAAGGCACAAGACAGGCGGCAGGGCCCGGGGTGAGGGTGAAGCGAGCAGAGAGGTGAGAGCGCCTGGGGTCCCGTAGACAGGACCTGGGAGATGGGAGCCCGTGGGCGTGCTCTAAGAGGAAGCGCCATGACCCGGTGTCCCAGCAGGACCCAGCATGGCACTGGCTGGGGGGGGGGTGACCGTGGTCCCGGACCCCGTGCATCCTGCAGCCTCGGTGTCCCGCTCAGCCTTGCCGTTGCCCTTCCAGCGGAAGCCCTGGGCCTGGACCACATGGTCCCCGTCCCCTACAGGAAGATCGCCTGCGACCCGGACGCGGTGGAAATCGTGGGCATCCCGGACAAAATCCCTTTCAAGCGGCCATGCACATACGGGGTCCCCAAGCTCAAGCGGATCCTGGAGGAGCGGCACAGCATCCACTTTGTCATTAAGAGGTGCGGCTGGGCCCGGGGGAGGCCACAAGGGGCCAGGGCTGGCGAGCGTGGGGTACCCAGACTTCACCGGAGAGCCAGATGGGCCCGGCAGGAGTTCCCAGCTCCGGCGCAGGCCTGTCCAAGGATCTCACAGAAAACGGAGGTGCAGCGCCAGGCCAGGGACAGGGCGCATTCCTTTCCTGTCTCTGTGTCCGAGAGGGCTCCCATCCACGGGTTCACAACCCCCAGACACCCACCATGATGGGACCAGGGCTGAGCTGGGCAGAAGCCAGGAGCCTGCAGCTCCATCCGGGTCTCCCATGTGGGTGCCAGGGACCCAGTTCCTTAGCCATCACGTGCCGCCTCTCTGGGTGCGTGTTGGCAGGAAGCCGGAGCCAGGGATCAAACCCAGGCGCTCCAGCGTGGGACGTGAGGGTCTGATCTGGTGTCTTACCTGCAGGCCAAGAAGCCGCCCAGGAGGTTCTTTTTTTTTTTTTTT